GAATGTTTTTCTTAATAGTCTTAAGTTGTGGATTCAATTCACACTCACTTTCACTATCACTATCTCTCTCAGGATGATCAGACATGATGTGTCAATTGAACAATAAATGTTAGTATTATATGTAATAAAAAGTATGTCGAGTGTCTCATGCGGTTGGCAACATTAGTCATTAATCAAAAAATGGTTTGGAATTTGGAATTAATCATTTCAATGAAAGCGTTAAAAACAGGAAATGAAATAATCATTAAATAATTAAGCATAACCATGATTCATAGGGTAACTGATTACAAAATATAGGATAATAATTTTACATATAATTATAAGCGGAAATTACATAAGAAATATTATATATTATATAAGAAATAATTAAAAATTGTCTCAACTGCCCCGCTAGAGTCTAGGACTCAACAGCTCCGGCCACAGGACCGGTTGACGGGAGACAACAACACAAGTACTAAATATGAAAAATTTATAAATCATGCATAATTAATTGTCATCAAGTTCAATGGTATTATCACTACCATTAACTACCAATTCAATGGTATTAGCAATAGGGGTTAGTGTAGGCATAGGGGGTGTTCCGCGGGTAGCAGTACTGTAGCTAGGTGGATCGTCGATAGGGGTTAACATCGGCATTGTTGGAGTTCTAGGGACGGCAGTTATAGTTGTGGTTCGGCGAGAAGCAGTGGGTCTAATAGGTCGGGACGAACTTACGACAGATATATTATTCGCGGCTTGGGCTCTGGCCTGTAGATTACTAATACACAAATCAAGTGCTGTGGTCTGAGTAGCCATATCTGTAGCTATGGGAATTGAAGTGGATGTGGTCACTGGAGGAGGTCGTGGGGTCGGTGTTCTTGGGCGTGGGATCAGTGAAGGCAATGAGGGCTCACTATGTTGGGGAATTGGTTGGTAGCCATTAGTCGGAAAAGCTGGGGGTCTCGTAAGTGTTTGGCGCAATAGTGGTCTCTGAAGTCTACATGATTGCTGGGTAGGGTATGGCTGAGACATAGTGGGCACAGCGGCTCTCTGTGGAACAATAGGTGAAGTAAATCTATGAGTCGGAACTGGTGCGGGAGGTCGCATAAAGCGGTCAGGGTCTAGTCCACCAGGGAATGGTCTCTCGGGAAAATTTTGTGTGTTATGAATGTGGACATTCAGGGGGCCATTTGGGGGAATCGGTTCATTGGTATGTAATAAGTGTCTATAAGGGGAGATAAACTGTAATGGCATATTTCGTGACAATATGTCTCTCATGGCGGTAACATCGGCCATAGTATACGGAAGGCGGTCAAGGCCTTCATAGGTCATACATGAGCGGCAGATAAATTGGTTGTGATCTAATATCATAGCATATATAGGTTTGGCACATAAACACAAATAACAAACTTGTCTCGACCCCAGGTCAACAACTCTAGATTGACTGTTACTTGACATTGTATTATATATAGTAAATAATAAGAATGTATTATTGAAGCCTTAATGGGAGAGCGAGAGATAGAATAGTTTATAATGAAAATCAAGATACCGTAGTATTAATACAGGAAGTTATTACTTTAAATGTAAACAACCAAAGCATCGCTAGAATCTGAATCAGTGGAATCTGAATCTCGAGAATGACGATAATTACGAGAGTTATTAGGAATTACGCGTTCAGTAGATAAGATAAAGAAAAGTGAACGGAAAAATAAACGGCGCCAGCGTTGGCTTATGGGTTCAAATTGAAATCCTTGTCCAATATCTATTAGGTGCGCTTCGGGTCGTATGTATACAAGGATTGTTGCTATTAATTCATCACTAAATCGTTCAAATGAGTCGCGCGGCACGACTTCCATTATTGATATATAGTATATAGTTAATCACTTATTATGTTTTGATTGTTTGCTATAGTTATGTTCAGCGTCAACACAATATTTATTTTTCACATTATAGGCCTTAATTAAGTCACTATTAGTAGTTATTAAATGAATTTCACTCTTAGATAAAAGTTTTTTGTGTGTTAATAGGTATAACAGTTTATCAACTT